CTTTTGTGCTCTCACGGCATTTCGGGCGCGTGGAGGAGAGGTGGATCGGCTCAGCCATCGCGTTGAAGTGGAGAGAGTCTATGACCGTTTCGTTGAGGTCGAAAAAGGAAGGACCATTCCGTGACATCATGGACTTTGCGCCCAGAATTTCAAATAAATTTCTCGCCGTTAATATTGTTCTAAATATATTTTTTTCGCTCAAAATATATTTCTTGACACGCGTGTCCCAACAAAACTGTCTGGAAAAAAATTTTTTTTTTTTTTTTTTTTTTAATGAAGATTTTTTTTTTAAGGAACTCGTGAAGGGCACATAATGCGGTCCTTTCATGTGAGTTATACGGCCAGGGGGACATAATATAGGTGGCTAACCTTCACAAGAAGTCAAACAATTCAATAAATGCGATAATTATCTTTTAATTTGTAATAATAAACTTAAGTTCCCAAATAGAAACCTGCCGAGCGTCATCGAATATTTCTAAATGTTCTAATTTTAGAAATACGTGACGCATGTGGCAAACCTCAGTGTGCGCCAAAGATACCACTCCTGTAACAAGCACAAGTCTAGCAGTGCAAAAACCCAGATGCTACGATTAGCATTCGCGTTTTTCAACCGATAGCCTTGTGCCTGCTGCAGGAGTGAAAACTTTAGTTCATCCCTCCCCCCGGGCTTTCTGCATGCTGCAGGTATTTTTAAAACTAAATTTAGTAGTTTTAGATCACGTCCGGCTCATTTTATTTGGACCCATAGGTTTATTATCACTAATTGAAAAGATAAGTAAAATAATTTAGTGAATTGTTTAAGTTATTCTGAAAATTAGCCGCCTATATCTTACCCCCTCGCCGTATAACTCACCTGAACAAACCACACAAGTGTATCTTTAAAGGAATTATTTAAATAGCCTGTTCGAAATCAAAATTAAATACCCTGTATAGTTGCCGGGCTTCTTCTCAAAGTTGCGAGTGAGAAATAAAGAAAGCCATTGTTTCTAGAATGATCATTGCGAGAAAGTATCATGATATTCATAAAACTTACATTATGGATACGTTCATCGAGAAAAGGCATAACGGCGCGTTTGTACAACTCTCTAAAACGTGATATTCAACAATGATGTTTCATGTGCAATTTTTGCTTTCGTATTGTGGTTCTATTGCTGTGCACCGGGCCTTGAGTATAGAAGACTCAAGAATATCCTAATTTACTAGCGGATCTGATCTGTTTACATATTCATAAGGGAACGCTCTCGTTCTAAGTTCTTAAACTAGACATATCTGTAAGACGGTTTTAAGTTATTATCACTTGAGGCAAACAAAAAGTGCTAAAACTGTTTGAATCGTCGTCAAGACGAGTTTTCATCCTGCATCGTTTTCGTCCCAGCAATCAAACATGAAAATTCCGGGAGGAGTTTCAGCCGCCAGTGTATCATATAGTTCGCTGGCAAACGTTTTAGCAGTTGTATCTTGAACTGCCTTATGACTTATTCAAACGTACGTTATGAGGACGGAAGAAGTCCTGGCACATATCAATATTGTCAAATTACTGTCCACTCTGCATTATGCGCGACGCCTCTTTGCGTACGTGTAACCGCGTTCACATAAAACTATACATTATATACGACCTTTTTTTCTTCTGTTGTGATTGAGTATGTACAAAACAATCTTCCTATGCTCTTCCGTCAGGGTATTAAAAAAATGTCTTGTTTACATAACAATTTCTGAAGAAGCCACTATTGTTATTCTCTCTGTCAGTGTTTTCCACACTGTGGGTCGAGGAGGGGGGGATGGGAGGGGGGATCGCAAAGTGACTCGGGAATTTGACAAAAATATATACTTGGCTTCTCTTTTGTGGTCATGATGACAACAAGAAACTACGACCAGCATCAAACCGGAACTGAGAGTTACGGTGTCCAAACTCCGCCCTCGTTTTGAGAAACTGTGCTCTACCGAACCATTTCTTTTTTAGTGAATAGAAATATAAATTACTGCAGAAATTCGTTTCCTTTGCGATGGGCTTTGGCCCAGCCGACTCCCTCTAACTATATTAAACGTAAATCAAAATTACAGCGTCAATTTTGTGTAATATAAAACACGGACTATAATGAAAAACTTATGGCAGCAGGGCAGCAGAGCTTAGAAACCACAGCTTTTGCTATGGCTGAATAAATAAAGGTGAATATCCTTAAAGCTCTTCAATAAGGGCGTTCGCTGTTTATGTTTGCATATACGCTAACTGGGTCAAATATTTTTTTCGGCATTACCATAGCTCTGTATTTTAGTTTCTTAGATTGGATAAAGTTATACGGAATTCCTGTAGCCGGTGACTAGGACAAATTATGCGCTGACTAGAGCGCGAGCATTCTTTGTTAACACTTTGTCGCTGGCGCAGCCAAAGCCCGGCGGTAGGCAATGAGCGCGTGCTTGAGGCGGAGCACCGATTAAGTTCTCAACCTGTCAACAACTATTAGAGACATTCGGAGCATATTTGAATGTTCACAGAACTTTTAAAAATGAATGCGATTGATGGTTGGCGCTGGTGTCGGATGAATGTTCCCTGTGACCCTGACTAAGCAGCAAATTAATTTCGAAGCTACACTGTTTTTTGTTTTTTTTTAATGTATGTGTCAAATTGATGCGATGAGATTACGAAATTATGTCGTATCCCGAAATATGGCTTCCTTCCGCAGCTACAGTTGGTACATCTTAACGTCTACGCGTAACTTACCGAATAAAAATATTACCGGCGTTATGCCAGACAGGGATGTGTAGGAATGTCAGATGAAGGGAACACTCCTATTCACTGCAGGCCACGATTGTCCGGTTTCTTTCATCGCACGGCAAGAATATGCAAGGAATGTGTAGTGGGTTACGGCGAAAAGACGAGACGAGGTGCAGCCCACGTAACTCCCATAACCGATTTTTTTTTTTTTTTTAATTCTCTCGTGTTCACGTATCGTCTTGCACATCGCAGGCCCGCGCTCATCTCTTAGCACGCCGCCTCGCGCATTTTATAATTCAATCCATACTCAAATAGAACAGAATGTAGTCCTCATTTTTGCAGGGTCACTATACTCTGGACGTGCATAAAAAGAAGAACAAGGGAAGTTAGTGAGGTGTTTTATTCTTTTTTTTAGTACAAGCCTGGGGAAAGGGTAATTCAGCGAACCGTATTTGACTCCATCAAAATGAAGATTGTGTACTTGTGATTAGGAATAAATTTCGTAGCGTAGGGGTCTTATCTGGATGACGGCATGGTGTTGGTTGGCGAGCCTGAGTCTGTGTTTTTAATCCCTTCACTTACGTGGCTCGTTTTCTTTGTGTTTTTTTATTTATTTTGAGTTACGTGTGCAGCAGTGTTCGGTTCTGGTTGCGTATTCTCTTCGTATCTGTTTACTGAGCCGTTTATCGCCATCATGTACTACAACCCTTACTAACTGACCCAATCGGCAACCTTAATATTACCAACGTATTTTTTTATTTCGTGTTGTTCCCTGTCAAACAATACAGTATTCACAACGAGAAGTGCTCTACATGCGCCTTTTTAGCTTAGCTTACTGTCTCCCATTTTGTATTGTACGTCATGTCGTGATGTACTGACTTGTTCAGACGAATCATTCATGAAGTCTTAAAACAACGCCTATCACGAGTTTGGTTTCAGCAGATAGAAGTTGAGGTATCCTACGTTTAAAGGGGTACTCCACCGATTTTTTTAGCTACCTCAACTAACTATATTTTCTGACTCCCCGGCCTTTACTCTCTCCGGTATGCTATTTAGAATCGCGAAATTCATAATAGTTATTGCGAAATCGGCAAAAGAAAATGATGCAAAAACCAACATTCAAATATACGCGCGCTTTTCAGGGCCGTGACGTCAGTGGCAGGCAGGCTTGCCAGTCGAGCAAGCAGCCAAAAAATAGAATATGCCAATCATTTGTTCCGTGCTGGAGCGCGGGTACTGCAGCGAGCTTCCCAAGCATTCATTTGACACCATTAAACTGCTTCGAATCAGTTTAAAACGAAATCTACAGCCCAAAGAGTGAACCCCTGCCTTCCACTGACGTCACTTTTCCATTGTTGCCAGTAGAGACTTCGAGCTTGAAAAACACGGTGAGGACCAAAACTGTAAATTCAATAACTTCGCGAAAAAACAATATTTTGACCTAATATTTGGGATACTATTTTCGCGATGTTTGTTGGTTAGTTTAGCAAAATTTCAAGCAAATCGGAGACAATGAAAAAATCGGTGGAGTAGCCCTTTAAGACACGAGAAACTTCTGTGGCGACATAAAATGTTGCCAAAGAAAGACGAGCTCATGGGTTGAATAATTGTAGCAGCTCATGTGCCTCAAATCCTTGACTCCTTTCACTTGGGCATAAACCGCTTGCAAAAGCAATATTAGCATTACTTGGCTTCCACATCAAATAAATAAAATAAGCGCCGTCAAAAGTATAGAGACCACACCATAATAGTAATAGAGAATTGGAAACACGGCAAACTTAGACTTATCTGACTGAGAAATCTGAAGCGTTTCTACTAAAAAAAAGGCGTTCGTTTATTTTCAATACCTGGTCCACTCAAAACATTAGCGGCACAGTCTTCCTACAAATGTAGTGTTAGCTGTTTGGTTGAAACCCCATGCTAAAGTTTCTAAATTCTCCTCTTTTTTTTTATTAAAGCGTCGTGATTTTTTTTTTAATGACAAATTGCAGAGCGTTTTTTTTTTTTAGCAGGCGATCTTTTATTCGTATGAATTAGTGGCGGTGTCGGCTACCATCTTTTTTAATATGAAGTTTCAAAAATCGCTTATAACATGTGAATCACAAAAACGTCATGATTTGAAACTCTTGCTTCTGGTCCGGACATCCAGCGCTGCATTCCGCTCTGAACCTGAGCATCGGGCGATGCTAGTTAATTTTTGCGGAGAAGTAAACATTGTAAATTGTTTTAGAAAACACACTGTATGTTGCCATACCACTTAGATTCGAGGGTTGTGCTTATATTGCAGTTTCACGACCAGACGAGCCCTTGAGGACTACGCGTACGGAGACCTGGTGATTCGGAAGGGCACGTCCGTCCTAGCGTCCACCTACCAGATCCACCACGACCCGACGCTGTGGCCCGAACCAGACAAGTTCGACCCCGAGAGGTTTGTGCTCGCACCTTGTATTCTTGACTTTGACAGCTTAATGAAGAGTTGGCGTAGATCATTTCCATCGTCCCACAACCAGAGTGCCAAACCGAAATATTTATCGGTTCGGTTCGGGTTCAGGTTCATGGCTTTCGGTTCAGTTCCGGTTCAGCTCCGGAAAGAAAAAAATAACGGTTCAAACCGGTCTGAACTACTAAATTAAGAATTTATTTTCCGCAGTTCTTCGGCAATGGACACTATTTCCGCCGTGAAACGAGTGACTGTAGAGTTGTTTATCGTTCGTACAATCCAATTTTATTTTCAGGTACAAAAAAAAGGAATTGCGTTATTTTGACGCAACAGTAAAATAAATCCTAGATTACATAAAAAACCATGTGTTCATACGTCTGAGCACATATTTGTTTACCTCAGTCATATGTATTTTACCAGAATCGAAAGGTAGTCACCAAATCCGGTAGGTCACCTAAAATACCCGTGATTGGTACAACTTTGCATCGCAGTTTTAAAAGCTGAATCGGAGTTGTGCTCTTGAACTAGGGAATTAATTGCAGTGCATAAAATCATGAAATGCGTATCTCATCGCCGTATATATCATGAAATTTACTTTGCAAGTTCGTTTTTCAATATACAGGGCGCGGCCGTAAGGACTAAAATATTTTTCACGCCCAGCAAAATTCGAATTCCAAACGTACATATCTGAAATTGGGCGCACGCACGTAGTTTCCCAAGAAGTTTCGTGTCCAATTTGTTTCTTTATTGCTCAATTTTCAGCTCGTGAAGTATTAAAAATAAAGCAGAATCGGAGACCGTGCATTTCCTGTGTCCTATACCAGCCTGTTTGTCGTCGGCACGCTGGTTTCTGAGCTCACTCCCGGGTAGCTTGCTGAACGGGAAAACGCGGAAACTCTTTAGCAGAGGCTGGCAATGAGCAAGATAATCGCGATAATTAATACTTTTACCGAAATATATGAGCAATGCCCATCTGGGAGCAAGCCCACAAATCAGTGTGATGACGGTCAACATCCGGTTTAGGGCATAGAAAATGTACGATCGACGTTCTTGCTATATTTTAATATTTTACTAAATATGACTTTAGCTCTAAAAAATAAAATTCAAAACTTCTCACGGAATTACGTTTGCATGCCCAATTTCGGGGATGTACGTTTTTATTCCGAATTTCGCAAGGCGTGCCAAATGTTTTAGTCCATACAGCCGCACCCTGTATATGATGACGACGCAACTGAGCTAAAAGTAGTTGAAATATTTATGACAAACTTTCTTATACAAAATGAACTACGATAGCCGGGGATGTGATGCTTGTTCTTGCGAAGATGCCGGTCATTTCCATTTGAAAATAAGCATCGCACTTGCTAGTTGCTATTTTATTTTATTTATTTATTACATATTGCATGCCTTGATTAGACCCTTGCAGGTGTGGGGTACATACCCAAAGGGTGCAATTAATGAAAAAGGACACATTTCAACATTTAATTTCAACATTTCAGCTATCGTTTTACATAACTAACAGTAAGAAGAATAGCAATGACTGTCGGAATAAACAATCAACGTACCGATCCAAAAGACGCAAACATATATTAAAAAAAAACAAGACACATTTTTATATTCCAACTATCGTTTTACATAACTAACTGTAAGGAGAATAGCAATGACTGTAGATAATACAATCAACGCTCGAATACAAAAATGGGACAGGAACTATAATGGGGTTATCATTTAGTGCTTTATTAAAGTCAGGGAGACAAAAACTTTATATGGCAGTGTGTTCAAATTAGATATAGTGAGTGGAAAAAATGGCAACTTGAAAATGTTAGTTTGAGCAAATATAACCTGAAGAGAAAACTCATAGTGGTTCTTAGAACAAAATAGTATTTCATGCTTTACTCGACATGACAGCTCTGACAGTCTACGTGCGTAATCGTCATAGTTCCGTCACGCTTCCCTTTGGATTTAAAGACACATAAAATTGCTGTTTACGACATAAAGGAGGCCATAACAGATTTCTATATGTTCGACAAGTTATATATGTGTGAGGAACACAGTAACGCTCTTACAAAACACTTTGGGCCTGTCGAGGATAAAAATGCCGAAAACGATTTGGAGAGCATCTTTCAGATAGTTTGCGGGTGGGTTTACTAATGATGTATATCTTCAAGGTGATCGACCCTTCATTTATGTTGTGAAGCCTTCAGTCAGTGATTAAATATAGCTTTATTATCATCAATAACTGTGACTGTATTAAGTTCACATCACTGAAAATAATGAATCGACGGGTTAGTTAGTTGTTGACAGACATAATCAAAAAGTAGCGCATAGAGTACGTGATAAACCTTTTAGTTGCAAGTTAGCGCTCGTCCTGCGTTTTACTTTTTCTCTGTCCCGTCTTTTATGGGGTACTCTTTTACCATGCCACATAACTGCTTGAGACCGATACGGAAGGACAATACTTGAAGACACCAGCTGTCGAAGGCTCTGAAAACATTTGTTTTTTATTTCGCCGTTTGGCAGTGTGAAAGACCGGGTCGCGGGATATGCCTAAAAGGACTTTGTGCTCGTATGATAGATCTAAAGTCAAATACACGAAACGGGCAGAAAGAGAACGATAATGAATGGTAATCTTCAAAAATAATCTGATGCACGCCGCTTTATCGCAAAATAAAAATTCTCGATATGTAATGAAATTCCTAATAACACAGAGATAGCCTGAAGGACAGACGAAGATTCTCATAATAACACTAACTTAAATCACATTTGGCCATCAGTTTGCATGAAATCTAAACTTGAGAAAATACCGCCTCGGGAGGTTAATGTTACATTCGGTTTTGACGTGCACTTGTTTTTGGCACTCGCTTTACGACTTTGTGCTTTCAGTCATGCGCTCTAACATTTTGTTTGCCTGCTATATATTGTAAGGCTCTGGATGGATGGATCGGTTTAATACAATGAATGAAGTTTGATTAAGATGGTGCCTCCACGGTGACCGTTCGATGCAGATCCGAGAGAGCTCAGCACGCGCACTGCCGTCTCAGCCCCGCTTCTTCTTTCTTCCTGACAGTATACGTCCCTCGGGGAAAAGGCCGGTCCACCGGCCGCAGATGTTATGGGTATGCGCACAGGGGTGTTGGCGGGTGTGCGGCGGGGGCGTAGGGGGGAGTGCTGTGCGTCAGGGGCTCTAAAGCAGAGCGAAGTTCATCTCGGATAGCTGAATTGATGTCGTGGCGCTCATTGGATGGCTGGGATGCAGGCAAAGGTGTGCGCTGCTGCCCAAGAAAATATCTTAGTTCTTCGCGGATGATTGTACGTATTAGGTTCGAGAGGTTTGTGTCGGTGTGCGAAGCAAGAGACACCTCAGGAAGGCGTTCGAACGGCCTCTTGAGTATTCGCGCGTTGTCGAGCTCTTCGTACTTCCGACATTCAGACACCAGTTGAGCTACGGTCGGCGGAGACTTGGGGGCTACGATGGAAAATAGTTCCTGTGAGAGCCCTTTGAATAGGTGGCGGATCTTGTCATCTTCGCTCATCTCGGGGTCGACTCGGCGACACAGTCGGAGGACATCTTCGATGTAGGCAGTTGACGATTCTGCTGTGGACTGGTACCTGTGTTGTAGTTGGTCTCGAGCCTTCTCTTTGCGGTGTTTGGGTTGACCAAAAGTGTCCGCAAACGCGGTTTTGAGCCGTCCCAAGAATCGATGGTTTCTTCGTGGTTGTCAAACCATCGGAGCGATGTGTCTTTGAGAAAGAAGACCACATTGGCGAGCTTGAAGGAGTCGTCCCATCCGTTGTGTTGACTGACGCGCTCGTAGTTCTTCAGCCAGTCATCCACGTCTAAGTCAGGAGAGCCCGTGAATATCTGAGGGTCTCGCTGTCGATGTTTTATAGTCACAGCGGGTGTAGAGCGGGTTCCGGTTGCGTTAACTTCTTGGTTAGCCATGGGCGGGCGTTGGGTGGTCTGTCCACTGCGTAGCTCCAGGTTCGGGGGTGGCGAGGTGTGGCGAGGGGTAGGAAACCGCTGACCTCCACCAACCTGTAAGGCTCTGGATGGATGGATGGGTTTAATACAATGAATGAAGCTTGATTAAGATGGTGCGTCCACGGTGACCGTTCGATGCAGATCCGAGAGAGCTCAGCACGCGCACTGCCGTCTCAGCCCCGCTTCTTCTTTCTTCCTGACAATATCATCACTAGACTGCTATCTATACTGCACAAATTCACAATTCGGAAATCTACTTTTGCTAGTGTTGCGGACATCGCATTTCATGAGGAAACTGAATTGTTTAACATGATTTGCACGTGACGTCATCGCACTATGCTGGTGGTAATAGACCTTTCCTGAAATATGTGGCGCCCCATCGTATGTTTGACGCATTGTGACGTTCCGATGTACGGCACGTGAGATTAATCAGCAGGTGAGGACGAAGTTGACGTCAGTTTAATGTTCCGTGGTTTTAGAGCACAGAGATCGGATAAGGAAAACAAAGCAGAATATGTAATCCCCTCCTTTTGTGTTCGCTTCATTTTTTGGGTGTTCTGAGTTCCTAATCATAAGAGAGAATGAACCGCGTCGCTTCTAAAATAAACGAAGCGTTCGACCCGGCACGAGCGTATATCAGAGCAGCCCCAAAATTCCCACTGCCGCGAGGTCTCCAGGGATTTTACGGCTCTATTCCGATTTGCTCTTAGTCAGTAAATAAAAACAGGTAATGCAAATTGCACGCTACAGAAGGTTCACTTTGAGTGCAAGCCATGTATTGGAGGTACGTAAATTATCCTTGCTTGGTGCAGCGTCGTGAGGAACGGCGCGAGCGTCTGGCGCCACGAAAACGCGCTTTCTGGTTAGAGCATCTTTTGCAAAGATAGTTCTTTCCGGGGCCACGCTTTCTTGTCTGCCGAAGATGCGGAGCAGTGGAACCTTTAGAACGCAGTACGCTTTCAAAAGTACCCCCCTCCCCCCTCCTCTTTTTTCTTACTTTTTTCGTTCC